GCCCGCTTCTGTCTGCTCTCGCAGGCTGCCGGTGCCGGCTCTCGTAACGGCCAAGGGTGCCGGCGCGGCCGGGCGCCTACATGTAGATATGAAGACATCACGATGAGTCTTCCCCCGCCCCGCACGCCGCGGTGCGCGCACGCAGCAGCTGTCGGCCAGGCTGCTGGAAGTGCCGGCTGTGTGTGGGCACAGCGCTGGACTCAGCAGGGTGGTCCCCACCCACCCGCTCCCTGCTTCACCCGAAGCCGAGGAGCTCGTAGCCTGGGTGTGGAGCATGCAAACGCAGGGAGCTGGTCCCTCCAGCACGTCCCTCATCGTGCCACAGCTGAAGGGGACAAAGTGTCACTACTGAAACACCAGCGTGACCAAAGAGCTGGGATGGAGCAGGGGGAAACAGTAAAGAAAATACTGAAAGCTCCCAGGTCTGTGCTTCTTCTATACTCTTCTAGCCCTCAGGCACAGTATAAGAGATATAAAGGGGTGTAAAATTACTCCAGTGTTGAGGCACTGCGCTACCAGACTGAAAGGCAAAAAAGCAAGAATCAGTCCTGTTTACTTCTGAACCTACCCAAAATTCCAAACTCCCTGCTTTACACCCACATCTCCCTTCTTCCAGCTAATCCCATCAAACTGATCCAAAATCCAGAGAGCTGACACTGTGCCCAGTGAATGTGGTCTTCCAAGAGACGGGTATTCGTCTTTTTTTCAGCTCTGCGGAGTGCAGTTTGATAACTTCAGCACAGAGAACAACGTCTGCTCCGACAAAGCCCGGAGCCTCCTCCGCTGTCGGAAGCCTGTCCGTCCAGACTGCAGCAAGGCCGAGCTCAGCTCCGGGAGCTCCTCTTGAAGGATCATTTAATCACCAAAATCGATTTATTGATTTTTGTAACACAGTTTCCCCTCTGATGTTATAATTGCGAATTAACTTGGAAGGAATTAACATTATACAAGAAAATTCAAACAAAATAGAGAATGCTCTTCAGCACGCAATACTCTTGCTGCAGAATTAAACGCTGGTTTAATTTCTGAGCTAACTGGGACAACCAAATTCACAGCCAAGAAAAATCTTTCCATCCCTCAAGTCAGATCTTTCCGCAGAGCTGCTCTCCAGCAGGTCCGCCCCAGCCTGTACTGATGCTTTGGGTTGTTCCTCCTTAGG